CAGACTATTCTTCTAGGTTATAGTATTTGCTTTGTCACTCCTCGGGACATCTCAAGTATAAGGGTAGCACACCAGCCAACACTGGATCTCACTGTGCTTGTGTCCTGAAATAGTTACACGGTAAAGCAGAGGGGCATAAGTGCATCAAGGCCTAACATGGAGCTCGTCTGAGCAATCAGATGAACAAACTCTGACATCTTACCACAGAAAGACTACCGGCCAATGAGCTACTCCAGGAAAAAGCTGCCTTTCAGCAGAAATCTCAAGATACATAACAAATAGGAATTTATGCATCATCGCTGAACAGATCATTTATCATTAACCCCAAAGTAACAAGATAGCAGCTCCTGTCAAACTTAAAAAATTATTGTGAATTGAGGCCTCTAGCCCTAAATTGCATCAATGAGCAAAAGTTAGCAATTAACTAATTACAGAAGTGTCAGGCTGAAGGGAATCTCTCACGTACTACCACTTCATCCCCCTGCGCTGAGACACACTTCAGAACATCTTCTGCATCTGTCCAACCTGACCTCAAACTCCGAGTAGCCTCTTCCAAGGTTACTTTACAGCTTGAGCCCAGCACAGGACCACAGAGATGATTCAGGGACCACAGCATCTTTTCACACGAGGAGAGGCTGCAAGAGCTGGAACTCTTCAGCCTGGAGAAAAGGAGACTTGGGGGGATCTCACCGATGTTTACCTGATGGGAGGGAATGAAAAAAAAGGGGCCAGACTCTTCTCCATAGTGCCCACTGACAGGACAAGGGGCAAGGGGCACAAACTGAAGCACAGGAAATTCCATCTGAACACAAGGAAACACTTTGTTACTCTGAGGGTGGTCAAACACCCTCACGAGATGGAGGAACATTCCAGCTCACCCTCATCTACAGAGCGTCAGCAAAATTCTCATCCTCCTTCTCACTGCCCACTCTCCTCCATATTCACCACACGCTTCCTTCCACCCACTTCTGACCTTCCTATTCTGCAAGAAGTTTGCTGGTAGTGATCTATCTTTCTTGTACATTTTCATCGCATGAGAGCTCTGCTCAGCCAAGGCTGCACTTGCCCCCCAACAGCACAGTTCACAGCTGCTGTTACATTCACTTGTCGTCTCAGCAATCTCAGCCAGATGTCAGCTTCCCTGGGTTTTTCCCTGCAAGAGTCTGCTTGGGTACTGGAAGTTCAAAGCCACCAATTAATTAGTAAACGCTTTGGAAATATCAGCTGTGAAAGCAGGAAATCGGAAATTTTTCAAGACCACATAGGTAGGGGCTGAAATAAACTGGAGAAGTTGAAATGTGCATAATACTAAACAGAAGTCAACTGAGCTTTGAGAAATCAGGAGGAAGAGAAAGGTCACCGACTCCAACTGTGCGGCAGTCTCCCAGCTGCCCAACGCACACAGCACAGCATGGGGTGGTACCACAAGCCAGACAAGAAGGTTTCAGTAGCAGGCTGATCACTGCACTTTGGCTGCTGACTGTACCCTGCCGGACCTCAGCTGGCCCGTACAGTGCCATCCTGAGCATTGCCATGTCCTTACGCAGTTATTGCACCACCTGAAAAACTTCCCCGCAGGTAACAGGAGTGCCTGCAAACAAAAACCTTCATGCCCTCTCTAGTTTGCCAGGACTGAGAAACTGCAGAAGTAAAAATGCCCCATCTACAAGAGAGCAAGAGCCAGTGTCAGCACAGAGTTAAGTGCTCAACAAGGCTAGATAGGCACTTCCTCATTTCTGAATTTGTACTAAATTAATAAAAATTAAAATAGCTTCCAGCATGTGATGTCTGGGGGTGTTGTGTTCCCATGATGCACTAAATAAACCACAGCCTAACAGCTGCGCTACAGGCAACAGCGCAGCCTGAGCAGGGCCAGCACGCAGGCTCCAGGGAGGCGTCTGCCCCCGTGTCCTCTCTCATATGCTCCACTCACCCGGGATTCAGCTATTAGGAAGCTGAAGCTTGGTCGTTTTTGCATCAGGCTTAGTTTTTCCAGGTGTGCTGTCACTGCTGTTAGAAGTACCTGTGAACGCATGGGGAGAGAAGCACTTCCCAGGCAAAGCCTTCACCCAAAATCCTAACAACAAAGTGCTGGGAGCAGAGCACAGGCTGTGTTTCTCTGTGAAAGAGGTCGGCTGTCACAAACACTCTCACTTTAAGTCACTTACACTGGGAATGGCTGCCACCAAACTATACAGCAGGTGCTAATTTTTTATTACCAACCAAGAAGAAAGTTTTCACAGTTTCACCCAAAAAGGGAACTATGTACACCTGGGGTTGTCATCTCATCAGAGGAAGCATCAGAATATTTGCATTTGAGGCCATTCACAAAACTTGGTCTGTAGAATCACATGATGGAAGAAGTCACCTAGTCGTTTTTTTCCCCACACAGAGGTAGGATCTGATACATTCATCTAAATACTTCCACCATGAAACCAGCTTATCTTAAGTAGGTTCTTCCTTCACAAGAGTCAGGGTGCCAGTGGACAGCTTGCCTTGGCAACTGCTCCGATGTGTACGAAGAAACAGCCTGACATTACCCAATTCTTGTGTGCAGCTGACGGCTCACATCAGTTAGGGCTCCCACAACGTAACAGAAGCCCAGAAATTCTGAATCTTTGTGTACCCTACTATTTGGAAAATGGTACAGCAGACTCCACAGCAAATGAGTTTGGTTTTATCTCATTTTTTCTCTCAGTCAAATCTTTTCTAGATATACTGAAGTCAATTTGAGATCAACGTATGCTTGTTCCAGTGAGAACACAGAAAATAAGCTGGTTTTTTTGTTATCTAAAAACAACAACAAAAATCCAAAGCACAATCTCCCTTTCAAAACACCATTGACATAAAGCTGAAGCAGAGGTTTTTTTCAGCAGAGAAGACACCTCTGGAGAAGGACTGTGCGTCCAAAGGTGAAAAGTCAGACTGTAGTGCCTTACCCCAAAGAAGTTTGCCACAGATGTATAGCAGCCAGCCCACTAAACAGCCAGGCACACAAGACTTACTCTCCTGGCTGCTCAGCCAGCCAGCACGGCGGTATCGGTAAGAGTCACCTCTGCCCCCTCCCAGGGGCACACCACTGCCAACAGATACGCTGTCCCAGCACAAGAATCAGATATTGAGTGCTTACCTTTGACAAACACTCTCTACAGAGAGAAGCAGTTGACCCAGAGTGGTTTCTGGCAGACCCATTCCCACACCTGTCCCTTTCCCTTCACCTCCCATTCTCTTTGATTTTTAATACCCTCAAAAGAAGCAAAATGGGCGAAAGCCTCTTTGGTAGGGATCCACTTGGCTACGTGAAACCTCCCACCACAGCCAGTCCGTCTAACGAAGGACAGAGACGCTGAAACCTTCTGCTCCACCCGCAGCCCAGGAAGCAGGAGGCTTTCCTCTGCCCCGTGCTGTGCTTCATGCACTGAGAATGCAGCAGGCCAGAAGACACTAGCAAGAGCTGGCTTCGGAAGAGATTTCAGGATCAACATCCCTTTGTAGTCTCACACACTTTTCAGCCACAGTAGAACTTGCTCCTCCTCTGGCCTAAAATAACTCTGACAGTCCTCGGACATGTTAAGTAAAACCATTAACACCAGTAATCTGGGGAGATATTGTTTAAACCTCCTAACTTTGAATAGTGTATTTAAAATCAATAAAATAATGGTGCCGTACTCTAGACCCAAGTTTGGAGGAAAAGAGTAGTTAAACTTTTACTTTTGCCAGAAAGTGTCAGAAAAGTAATTTAGTCTCTGGTCAGTTTAATTTTTCAGAGTACAAAACCTCAGCTACTCTCTTCTGTCTTCTTCCAGGCTGAAAGCAAAGGAGCCAGACCACTTCAGCCCCAGGTTATCCATTGGGAAACTAAGACATTCTAGGGCAGTTTGAAAGGGAGATGCAAACTTTAGTTTACACAGGTTTTTAAAAGGTACTAGGAAACATCTGTTGCGACCTGGTAACCCAAGAACACTATCTCCAGCACAATCCCTAAGTCACCTTTTTTCAGGGGGACTGTTTTGGCCAAGATCATGACTTCCAAAATTTATTTTTACTGTGACAGATTTGTCCTCATAGTTATTGTCAATGTTATCCTGGCATAAAGCACCTTTATGCGCACAACACCAGACTCACTGGAAGACTGCACGGCCTCGTTTCTGCCACTAAATATAGATAAATCTTAATCCAGAATGCAACCACAGGACTCCGATCCTGCTATGGCTGACAAAGAACACTATAATCTTAAATACGCCAGTGTCGTAAAAACATCCTGACCAGCATGACTCTCCGGAGCTCTCCACCTTCATTTCAACAGAAACTATACGCAAGGAGTACCACACATTCCTCTGGAGTCTAGGGAAGTTCAGACTAAATTAAAACTCAGTACATTGGGCTTCTGTAGTCTCCAGCCGTTAATACTTCCACGCTAGCAAGTCCTCTGTGCTTGTTATGAGGTAATCACTTTCAAACTGGTTGGGCTGTTTTTAAAGCCATTAGTGCAATTCTCCAATTCCCTACCGTTCCATCATAGGTAACAAGCTGATCTGCTGCCAGTACGGTTATATCTCTGACCTCAGGCCCAGTCCTAGAGAATAGACACTAGACAACCTTATTTTCATTCTGGTATGACAGAAATGTAAGTCTGAAGGAAGATAATTTTCCATCGATCGGGATCAATAAACTGCAGGGTACAATCTTTACAGGCAGAACTTTAAAGATACTCAGTTTTTACTTTCAATTTAATTCAAAACCAGGCACCTCAGATAACCCGCAAATTCAGAAGTTCTCTGAGAGTCAGTGGCAATCTCTCCTGAACTAGGGACCAACTGATGAGGCACAGAAAAGCTGGCTTCCAAAGCTTCCTAGTTTACAAGGGTTGTGCAATTTGCTTTAGCTTTCTATTTCAGTAAAACACGTTACCAGTGTTAAAATGAGGACAAACAGCATTCATGTATCTCCTCCCCTCCAACCACTGACCACGAAGCACAGCTCCACGGCTGCTACCTTACCTTCTGAAATAGCCTTCTTGACAGCTGCAAGGTAAGCATCGGGCTCATCATCGTTTGTCAGTTCTTGCCACTGAGACCAGTCCTTGAAAAAGGTCAGGTAGTCGTCACAGTCCGTAACACCGCAGAACAGCTTGACTACTTTGTACGGGGGCCATAAGGCTTCCTGAAGGCTCTGCAGGACGGGAGGGAGATAAAAACTCTGCACCAGCTCAGCAGACAGCAAAAGGATGATGCTCCGACTTCTGTTGAACAGGTCCAGCTCCTGGTCGGAGATGGCAGACTCGCCTTCCAGCTGGTAGCTCAGAATCCGATGCTTTCGAACGTGCCGAGTAAAGAGGAAGAGGTTCTGGAGGTACTGACACCATTCAGTGGCGTCACTTGCATACACAATCAGCACATCATATCCTCCAGGGATTCCTGTACCGGTGCAAGATGATCAGAGAGGAGGATTACATTCAAAGCAAGAAGTGACCCACAGCTTTGCCATAAAAAACCCACAGGGCTGTCCCTATAATTCACGTCAGAGGCTCCAAAGCACTTCAAAAGAACAGCAGATATAGCCAAAGTGAGCTGTTCACAGCCACAGAGCAATTCTAAGGGTGGCTGAACTCCTACTTGCATTTACCCCACTGAAATTTAAGTAGTTTTTTCATTCTCGAAAACCTTCCTATGAAGAAGGGGATTTCCTGTGTAGTTTCAGGTGAAACAAACCACATGTGGAGATGTACAGATTTAAAGCATGTTGATAGGAAAAAACCCACAAAAACCCGACCTCCAAAGCGGACTAGCTTGAAAAGGGGAGTTCATCTTTGCATGTGAAGTGAAACCATTTTAGGCAGCTATAGGATCTCTGCAACACAACTGCAGACCACTACATGCTCAAGCAGAGTATATGCCAAACATAGCACACACAAAATAAGAAAGGCCTTTATTTAAACGAGGTCCCACAACGCTTACAGCAAGTCACTACGGCTTCCATGGTGTTAGACATCCACTCTCACTGCAGCAGAAAGCAAACTGCTTGCAAAGTGTGCATGCAACGGCAGGGCACACCAGCCCCAGTGCTCGCGGCATGGCAAGCCTGCGATTCAGGCTTCAGACACTTCGCAAGCCTGTGTTAGAGTCCTTCCCCCAGAACTGCCACACGAAGCTTCCCCAGTCATTTTGGCATGACAAATCCTCTCTACAGAGGGAAAGGAGTAATACAATAGTGGTGGCCATAACACAGCGCAAAACACGCTCGCCAAAGTTGACTTATTCCAGAATTCTCTAGAGACAGCTCCTACCTACGCCTTCCTGAATTTCTGTGCACTGGTAAGAAAGCACTTTTAAAACTGTTTCCGGCTTGCTAAGAAGATCACACGCAGATTGAACCAATACGATGTGATGCAGTGCTCTCCCACCAATCTCAAGAAAACTTTTAAGTCTAAATTTAATTTTCCTGTTCACCTGTGAAGAAGTTTACGCGATTTTGAGGATTACAGCTCTGGTCCCATGGTAAATTTCAGTGCTGAGCATTTCAAATCTTGTTAGCAAATTATCTTCTTCTAACTCCAGTTTGACTCTTTAAAAGTGTCAACCTGTCCAACCTATCTCCATCCAGAAGCAAGCAAAGACAGATTTTTCTAATTAAAAGCAGCAGGCAATACCTAAAATTTGGCATGCTGAAAAGAGCACCTGCAGAGGGTGAATTTACCAGAACCAAAGATGACAGTTTTGCAGTCACCTTATCAAAATTCAACCAAAACTGAACAGCCTCCAAAGACTCCATTCTGCCATCTTCCCCTGAACCTTCATTAAGAAATGAAGGCTAAAATGATGTGTAGGCTATGGCACCCCACCTCTAAACCATACCATTACCAGCTTTAACTTGCAGTTGAGCAGAAGTGATACAGTTGAGAAGTCAAGCGTGGAGACATGCTCTATGCTCAACCAACAGCCTTACGGTTACCTGCATAAATGGAAAGTCTCTAGCAGTGAAAGGATGATGTCCTAGCTCTGGAGAACACAGACACCGCGGCTCAGCAGTATTCACTAGGACAGCTGCATGCTTCTCTGTGAACACAGCTCCTGAACCCCAGAGAGAAGCTTGCAGGAGACAGCGTTGTCAACAGAGGTGATCCAGTAAACTCAAAGCAAACAAACGGATCCAAAACCTTGGGACGTTCAAGCTAAGAGTGCAGAACTGCTGTGAAAAAAAGACGGCTTTCACACCAGTGAGAACACCACTATCGCAAAAACACCGCTTCTGGTTGACCACCACCTGACAAAGATGACAGAATCACATGTGCAAAAACAGGAAAACCAAGCAGAATTCACATCAGTAGTTTTATTCTAGAATGCGCCGGAGTACCAGAGACTTCTGCTTCCAGTGCCACGTGCTGATTTACATGCAGTACAGCGGGAAAGGGCAGCACAGCTATCTGCCGAGAACGGAGCCCACGCGCTGCAGCACAGCCAGCTGAGCCCGACCTCATCAGATGGGGAGACGACGCAGTGACTCTCCGAGCTGTGCCCAGGCTCCTGAAGTCCTGCCCTGGTGCTCTCTGGCAGAAGTCCCACCTCCAGACTCCAGGGAAAGCATCAGTGTCCTCCAGGGCATTTTAACGTTCTGTAAAACAGAACATCTGATCCTACCATGCATTTTTAAAAAGAGCACAACTTCCGCAACTGAACCTGTTCAAAAACAGGCCCTTCTCCAGTCTTTCAATGAAAGGAAGCAGCTGTGCTTGGAGAGGACGCAGGGTGGGGGAAGTCATTGATTTTAAATATTCATTGCATTGTAGCAGTGCTAAGTATGCGGGAAACTTCCCTTCTCCGATACATAGGCAAAAGATGCAAACCTGACAGCCTCTCTGCAAGTCCCCTGCCAGCTCCTGTCAACTCCTATCCCCAGAGGCAACATCACCCAGAGCACTGTAGCCTCTGCACCGGGTAGGAAGGAACCTCACCTGATGTTTAGGAATGGTATCGGTTCCCTAGATAGCACTGGCTCTACCTGCACGTCATTGCCCTTAACAGGAGGGCCCTCTTACCTCAAACTCCCGTAGCCTTTTACACTTCCAGGATAAACTGAGGAACAATGCTTTTAAAAGGAGAACTGAGAACTAAAATTACTGATTCCACTTTCAGAGCCAAGGAAATTCTCCGTGTTCATAAGCAAAAATACTGGAAGTGGGCTGTGAAGACCTAAATAAGCTTACGTCAGCAACAGGATTGTTTCAAAGAAAACAAAAATCTAGAAATAGTTGCAATTGCAGCACCCCCTCTTAAAAGAAGGATGACACAACAATTGCTTTCCTGGATTTCTCTAACCAAATATCTCCCTTGCAGCACCAACTACTGCCCAGTCCTCAGGGAAAAGAGTAATAAATGGAGAACACAGAATGTTTCGGACAGCGTTTCCTACAACGCTTCACACATCAGTTACAGAAGAACTCAGGGAGCACACTCCAAAGCACAATGTAAACTCTGCCTACCATACACATACAAGGAAATCCCTAGGTGAATACCAAGCATTTTATTTCTTTAAACCCTGACTTAAATGGATGCTTTGACAATGCGTTACGCAGGCTGGTTTTGTCAAGTAAGAAAGATATGGAACAGCATAGGCAACAGCAAGACAAAGAATGATTTGTGCCAGGCAACCATTTGAAAAATCTTTCACGCTCTCAAGTGTAATCTAGTTTAAATTTTAACAATACCTTATTTCTGCATTCCTAAACTTCGGGAATAAAAGTGACTTTTGCTTCTGTTTACAAAATGTCAGCACTACTAATAATATTGCAGGGCATGCTTAACTATTTATTTCACAGGAAAACATCCAGGTGTCGTTCTGCTGCAGTTTGCAATGATAAAACACAACCTTTGGACTCTTTTTGAGCTGTAACTGCCTCTTCAGTGCTTAGTTGCACACTCCATTACACAGCAACAATAAAAGACTGATGAGACCACAAACCAGCACCACAGAAATGCCTAGGACCTCTAATTGAGGTGGCAGGCCCACAGACCGAACAGCAGAGACAGAACGTGATACAAAGCTTTCCCTAGCTTACAAACTGCACACAGAATGGAAGGGGATGGAGCAACTCTCTCAAAATCACAGACGGCCCATGGCAAGTGAATAAAGGTATACTGCAGTGACACATAGTCCCTCTCTGACAGGCAAACAAATCAGGCTCACCTTCCGACCATGTTTGGGAGTAGTGAGGTGACAATCTTTGGGTTCAGAGCAAACACGGGAGAGTGGTTTATGGCCGTATCGTAAGGTTCTGATTACCTCTGAAATAGCTAAAGAACTCTGCAGGAAGCTAGCGCATCAGCTCTGGGTAAGGCTACATCTTGCCCACTTAGCACTTCCCAAATTTGAATCAGCTGTGATCCACTATAATTACCCAGTATTTCATTCTGCAAGCCAAAAGGTTTGATCTTTTGCAATTTACAGATCATAAATAGGTTTCCATTGCACCTGTGAGTCCCATAGAGCAAATTCAGTGCCTCTAATAATACACTGCTTTTCTGTGTCACCTTTCACATCCCTCTCCTACATAGACCATGACTTCTCACTGTCCACAGACCAGGTAAAAGAGTGACAGACAAAATCTTTACTCCAACTCAGATGATCATATGCAGTAGCAAGCAAAACTATTTTCATTCGCTAGATCAAACCCAGATCAAGTTCTGACTAAATGAAAAAGCGCTATGTAGCCTGTTATCAGGATTGGGATTCACATGTTTGGAGGATACACAAACATGGCAGTCCAAAACAGCAGTCCTTGATAGGGCGGGATTCACTTCCTATGAAAGACAAGTGCTTGCAATATAAATGAAACCCAACCCAAGGTGTCTTAATAATCAAACTATTAACAGTGAGCGCACTGCCAAGAGGTGTCAGAAGCTGCTGGTGGGCCATTAAAAGAAGTCTGCAGCACCTTCCATACTTCAGTGTCTGAAGTGTGTGTATTTAAGTGATGTACGAGGAAACAAATGCATTCTTCGCCTAGCTGGAATGCATAACAAACTAACAGTGATCACATGTGAAAATTACTAACGTCCTAGCGAGACCTCTCACTTTGACCAGAACACAAAACTTTTGCTTTAAATAAAGTGCTGCAAACAAGCAAGAGGAAATAGCAGAATCGAAGCAGATAAAAGTTTTGCAAACTAAACTTCAGTGATAAGAACACGAGATTTGCATTACGATATATGAACCTAAAGTTGTTCTACTTCGAAGGGTCTCTGTGAAATCACCTTCTGTTTATAGGGAGAAAAGTAGTTTCGCCCACCAGTCTCCTGAGGCCTCCATTTAGCTTA